GGGACATGTTACTACTGGGACATGTTACCACTGGGACATGTTACCACTGGGACATGTTACTACTGGGACATGTTACTACTGGGACATGTTACCACTGAGACATGTTACCACTGGGACATGTTAATACTGGGACATGTTACCACTGGGACATGTTACCACTGGGACATGTTACTACTGGGACATGTTACTACTGGGACATGTTACCACTGGGACATGTTAATACTGGGACATGTTACCACTGGGACATGTTACCACTGAGACATGTTACTACTGGGACATGTTACTACTGGGACATGTTACCACTGAGACATGTTACTACTGAGACATGTTACCACTGAGACATGTTACCATTGAGACATGTTACCACTGAGACATGTTACCATTGAGACATGTTACCACTGAGACATGTTACCACTGAGACATGTTACCACTGGGACATGTTACTACTGGGACATGTTACTACTGGGACATGTTACTACTGGGACATGTTACCACTGAGACATGTTACTACTGAGACATGTTACTACTGAGACATGTTACCATTGAGACATGTTACTACTGAGACATGTTACTACTGAGACATGTTACCATTGAGACATGTTACCATTGAGACATGTTACTACTGAGACATGTTACTACTGAGACATGTTACTATTGAGACATGTTACCACTGAGACATGTTACTACTGAGACATGTTACTACTGAGACATGTTACCATTGAGACATGTTACTATTGAGACATGTTACCACTGAGACATGTTACCATTGAGACATGTTACTACTGAGACATGTTACCATTGAGACATGTTACCATTGAGACATGTTACCACTGAGACATGTTACCACTGAGACATGTTACCACTGGGACATGTTACTACTGGGACATGGTATATATGATATTATTGCGTATATATTGGCAATAATATCATTATTATTAACTCTCTATTACGAGACTAAGAAATAATACTGATATATTTTCCTTTAATAACTACATGTAAAGAACACATTTGCTTAAATATAATAAATAAAATCTAGTTTATTTAATATATTTTTATTTACCAAGAAATATATTTATGTAATGCATTTATTTATAATAAGAAAAGGATTCATATGCGTATCTTCATGCTGCTCCAGCGTACGTGACTTCCTATGTGAGAGGTTAACTGTATGCATGCGTGTATCTGCATAAAAGCAGGTGTTCATGTATTCCTGAATAAATAATGTTATCACAAGACTTACATTTTATGATTTTCAATTGTTCCAACGTAAACACCATTTTTCTGGCTAAAGAACGTCAGTTTAAAATTTGTTGATGCATAACCATCTCGGTGCAGTCTCGTGGCTCTGATATATTGCTGGGACTTGGGGTCAAGCGCAGAATTTCTTGCCCATCATATTACACAAAACATATTCTGACGGGCATGCATGTTTCATGGAGTATATCTGAGGCAGTTTTGACTTTTTATCCTTATTCCAGTACCTCGCAATATGCAGGTACTGGAATAAGGATAAAAAGACCCATTTATACCACTGAGGCTCTGTATAAAAAAATCAATTTTTACAACTGGGACTCTGGATAAAAAAAACATTTATTGTACTAGGATCTCTGAATAATACGTAAATTGAAACGTTAGGCTTTTTTATACTATTAAAGTTACGACTGAGGGTATATGTATACAAGATCTTCGTTCACGTGGCCTTTGAACAGAGAAGGATCCACAGAGAGGACACACCGAGGGTCTACTATAGATATATTGATGATATCTTCAGCATTATGGAGGAAGGCGACGGCCACCAACTGAATTTATTTTCATGGGCTAACACAGTTCATGCCAACCTGAGATTTACACTGAAAAGAGCGAACACTCACTCGCCTTTCTCGATACGACAGTGAACATCGATGCTACAGCCAGGACGCTACTGATAACAGCCTTTTATAATCCCACGAACTTGCACACACACTCCCAAAATATGACTCAAACCATCCGCAAGCACTTTAGGAGTCACTACATTTCTCCTTGGGACTGAGACTGAAGAGGATCACGTGTAAAGAGGAGAATTTGTACCCGCAACTCCATAACTTGTGGAGCCAGTTCAGAGAGAGGTTACCCGGAACGAATAATGCGGAAAACAGAGGCATGGGGCAGGACGCAACTCCGCGGACCTAAACCTAGACAGGACCAGGCGGATAGACGGATACTCCCGACACTCTTCGTCCCTGTCTTGGCAGGACCTTTACAAGAAGGACAGCATTCCCAGAGTGGGGGGGGGGGGCCCACCCATGATAGTCTGGAGGAGGGGGAGAGATCACAAGGACCACCACATGAGACCTGCTGTGAAACGACCAGAACTGAGAACCCATCCTAACCTAACTCAGGGAAAGGGAAACCTAACCTAAACTTTCCTAAAATGTACGTTCAGCGGTTAGGGAGGACCCACATTAGAGAGCAGACATAGTAGAAATAATACAGTAGATATGATACAGTAACTAACAGATAGGAAATATGATAAAGTAACTAATAGCTAATAGATATGATATAGTAGCTAATAACTAGAAGATATGATATAGCAACTAATAGAAAGTAGATATGATAAGTAGAATTGATGGACATAATAGATATTGGTAGTAGTGAAGATAGATATAACTAATATAACAGAGACCGCGGAGATTCTTATTGTCACGGAAACACAATTATCAAAACCAATTAATTTGCCATTATTTGTCTTCATGTTATTGGTATTTTTAATATGATCCTTTGTGGCCATTGACACACACAGTGGCAGCCTCACAGCTCGTGAACCACACTTATCACACCTCTCACCAGTGGTGGGTTGTGGTGGGTGGCTGAAGATGGGTTGAAGTGGCTGAGGGTGGGTGCTGGTGGGTGGCTGAGGGTGGGTTTGAAGGCTGAGGATGGGATTAGGAAGCTGAGGGTGGGTTCAGGAGACTGAGGGTGGGTTTAGGAGGCTGAGGGTGGGTTTACGAGGCTGAGGGCTAGTTTAGGAGCCTGAGGATGCGTTTAGGAGGCTGAGGGTGGGTTTAGGAAGCTGAGGGTGGGTTCAGAAGGGTGAGGGTGGGTTTAGGAGGCTGAGGGTGGATTTAGGAGGCTGAGGGTGGGTTTAGGAGGCTGAGGGTGGGTTTAGGAGGCTGAGGGTGTGTTTAGGAAGCTGAGGGTGGGTCCAAGCGACTGAGGAGTGGGGTTTAGGAGGCTGAGGGTGGGTTCAGGAGGCTAAAGGTGGGTTTAGGAGACTGAGGGTGGGTTTTGGGGTGAGGGTGGGTTTAGGAAGCAGAGGGTGGGTTCAGGAGGCTGAGGGTGGGTTTAGGAGGCTGTGAGTGGACTTAGGAGGCTGAGGGTGGGTTTAGGAGGCTGAGGGTGGGTTTAGGAGGCTGAGGATGGTTTTAGGAAGCTAAGGGTGGTTCAGGCGACTGAGGGGGGGTTTAGGAGGCAGAGGGTGGGTTCAGGAGGCTGAAGGTGGGTTTAGGAGGCTGAGGGTGGGTTTAGGAAGCTGAGGGTGGGTTCAGGAGGCTGAGGGTGGGTTTAGGAGGCTGAGGGTGGGTTCAGGAGATTAAGGGTGGGTTTAGGAGGCTGAGGGAGGGTTTAGGAGGTTGAGGGTGTGTGTTTAGGAGGCTGATGGTGGGTTCAGGAGACTGAGGGTGGGTTTAGGAGGCTGAAGGTGGGATTTGGAGGCTGAGGGTGGGTTTAGAAGGCTGTGGGTGGACTTAGGAGGCTGAGGGTGGGTTTAGGAGGCTGAGAATGGGTTTAGGAAGCTAAGGGTGGGTTCAGGCGACTGAGGGGGGTTTAGGAGGCTGTGGGTGGACTTAGGAGGCTGAGGGTGGGTTTAGGAGGCTGAGGTTGGGTTTAGGAGGCTGAGGATAGGTTTAGGAAGCTAAGGGTGGGTTCAGGCGACTAAGGGGGGTTTAGGAGGCAGATGGTGGGTTCAGGAGGCTGAAGGTGGGTTTAGGAGGCTGAGGGTGGGTTTAGGAAGCTGAGGGTGGGTTCAGAAGGCTGAGGGTGGGTTTAGGAGGCTGAGGGTGGGTTCAGGAGATTAAGGGTAGGTTTAGGAGGCTGAGGGAGGGTTTAGGAGGTTGAGGGTGTGTGTTTAGGAGGCTGATGGTGGGTTCAGGAGACTGAGGATGGGTTTAGGAGACTGAGGGTGGGTTCAGGAGACTGAGAATGGGTCCGGGAGGCTGAGGGTGGGTTCAGGAGGCTGAGGGTGGGTTACGAAAATTGAGAGGGGTCTAGGGGACTGAGGGTGGGTTCAGGAGACTGAGGGTGGATTCAGGAGACTGAGGGTGGGTTCAGGATATTGAGGATGGGTTCAGGAGGCTGAGGGTGGGTTCAGGATATTGAGGATGGGTTCAGGAGGCTGAGGGTGGGTTCAGGATATTGAGGATGGGTTCAGGAGGCTGAGGGTGGATTCAGGGGACTTGAGGGGGGGGGTTCAAGAGACTGAGGGTGGGTACAGGAGGGTGAGGGTGGGTTCAGGTGTCTGAGGGTGGGTTCAAAAGACTGAGGGTGGGTTCAGGAGTCTGAGGGTGGGTTCATGAGACTGAGGGTGGGTTCAGGAGGCTGAAGGTGGGTTCAGGAGTCTGAGGGTGGGTTCAGAAGACTGAGAGTAGGTCCAGGGGGACTGAGGGTGGGTTCAGGAGACTGAGGGTGGGTTCAGGAGGCTGAAGGTGGGTTCAAGAGACTGAGGGTGGGTACAAGAGACTGAGGGTGGGTTCAAGAGACTGAGGATAGGTTCAAGAGACTGAGGGTGGGTTCAAGAGACTGAGGGTGGGTTCAGGAGACTGAGGATGGGTTCAAGAGACTGAGGATGGGTTCAAGAGACTGAGGGTGGGTTCAAGAGACTGAGGGTGGGTTCAGGAGCCAAGCACTCACCAGCAGACTGTTAGTGCTTCAAGGTGACCCAATTATGCTGTTGTCCGTTACTCGTCTTTCCCTCTTGTGTTACGCTACAACATACTATCTGTTCAAGTGTTCTGCTCGCAACGTACTATCTGGCTTGTTCATGTGTTCTGCTTGCCACGTACTATGTGGCTTGTTCATGTGTTCTGCTTGCCACGTACTATGTGGCTTGTTCATGTGTTCTGCTTGCCACGTACTATGTGGCTTGTTCATGTGTTCTGCTTGCCACGTACTATGTGGCTTGTTCATGTGTTCTGCTTGCCACGTACTATGTGGCTTGTTCATGTGTTCTGCTTGCCACGTACTATGTGGCTTGTTCATGTGTTCTGCTTGCCATGTATTATCTAGCTTGTTCAAATGTTCTGCTTGCCACGTTCTATCTGGCTTGTTCATGTGTTCTGCTCACAACGTACTATCAAGCTTTTTCAAGTTTTCTGCTCGCCACGTACTATCTGGGTTGTTCATGTGTTCTGCTCGCCACGTACTATCTGGCTTGTTCATGTGTTCTTTTCGCCATGTACTATCTGGCATGTTCATGTTTTCTGTATGCCACATACTATCTGGCTTGTTCAGGTGTTCTGCTCGCCATGTACAATCTAGCTTGTTCAAATGTTCTGCTCGCCACGTTCTACCTGGCTTGTTCATGTGTTCTGCTCGCCACATACTATCTGGCTTGTTCATGTGTTCTTCTCGCCACGTACTATCTGGCTTGTTCATGTTTTCTGTTTGCCCCGTACTATATGGCTTGTTCATGTATACTGCTCACCATGTACTATTTAGCTTGTTCATGTGTTCTGCTCGCCACGTACTATCTGACTTGTTCATGTGTTCTGCTCGCCATGTACTATCTGGCTTGTTCATGTGTTCTGCTCACTTCGAACTGTCTGGCTTGTTAATGTGTTCTGCACGCCACGTACTAACTGGCTTGTTGATGTGCTCTGCTCACCACATACCATATGGCTTGTTAATGTGTTCTGCACGCCACGTACTATCTGGCTTGTTCAAGTGTTCTACTCGCAATGTACTGTTTTACTTGTTCATGTGTTCTGCTCGCCACATACTATGTGGCTTGTTGACGTGTTCTGCTCGCCACATATTATCTGGCTTGTTCATGTGTTCTGCTCGCCTCGTACTATCTGGCATGTTGATGTGTTCTGCTCGCTACGTACTATCTGGCTTGTTCAGGTGTTCTGCTTGCCACGTACTATCTGGCTTGTTCAAGTGTTCTGCTCGCCACATACTATCTGGCTTGTTGATGTGTTCTGCTCGCCGCATACTATCTGGCTTGTTGATGTGTTCTGCTCACAAGGGACTATCTGGCTTGTTCATGTGTTCTGCTCGGCACGTACTGTCTGGTTTGTTCATGTGTGGTCCTCGCCACATGCTTTCTGGCTTGATCATGTTTTCTGTTCGTCATGTACTATCTGGTTTGTTCATACGTTCTGCTCCCAACGAACTTTCTGGCTTGTTCATGTGTTCTGCTCGCCACGTACTGTCTGGCTTCTTCATGTATTCTGCTCGCCACGTACTAACTGGCTTGTTCATGTGTTCTGCTCGACACATACTATCTGGCTTGTTCATGTGTTCTGCTCGCCATGTACTGTCTGGCTTGTTCATGTGTTCTGCTCACCACATAATATATAGCTTGTTGGTGTGTTCTGCTCGCCAGGTACTGTCTGGCATGTTCATGTATTCGGCTCGCCACGTACTAATTGGCTTGTTGATGTGTTCTGCTCGCCACATACTATCTGGATTGTTGATGTGTTCTGTTCGCCACGTACAATCTGGCTTGTTCATGTGTTCTGCTTGCAATATACTATCTAGCTTGCTCATATGTTCGGCCTTGCCACATATTATCTGGCTTGTTCATGTGTTATTTTAGCGAAGTACTATCTGGCTTGTTAATGTGTTCTGCTCGAATCATACTATCTGGCTTGTTCAAGTGTTCTGCTCGCCACGTACTATCTGGCTTGTTGATGTGTTCTGCCCGCCAGGTACTATCTGGCTTGTTCATGTATTCTGCTCACCAGGTACTATCTGGCTTGTTCATGTGTTCTGCTTGCCATGTACTATCTGGTTTGTTCATGTGTTCTGCTCGACATGTACTATCTGGCTTGTTCGTGTGTTCTGCTCGCCATGTACTCTCTGGCTTGTTGATGTGTACTGCTCGCCACGTACTATCTGTCTTGTTCATGTGTTCTGCTTACCACATACTATCTGGCTTGTTCAAGTGTTCTGCTCGCCACGTACTATCTAACTTGTTCATGTGTTCTGCTCGGAATATACTATCTAGCTTGCTCATATGTTCTGCCTTGCCACATATTATCTGGCTTGTTCATGTGTTCTGTTCGCAAAGTACTATTTGGCTTGTTACTGTGTTCTGCTTGCCACATACTATCTGGCTTGTTCATGTGTTCTGCTCGCCACGTACTACCTGGCTTGTTAACGTGTTCTGCTCGCCAGGTACTATCTGGCTTGTTCATGTGTTCTGCTCGCCACGTGCTCTCTGGTTTGTTCATGTGATCTGCTCGTCACGTACTATCTGTCTTGTTCATGTGTTCTGCTCGCCACATACTCTCTGGCTCGTTGGTGTGTACTGCTCGCCACGTACTATCTGGCTTGTTCATGTGTTCTGCTTACCATGTACTATGTGGCTTGTTCATGTGTTCTGCTCACCACGTACTATCTGGCTTGTTTATGTGTTCTGCTCGTCACATACTATCTGGCTTGTTCATGTGTTCTGCTTGCCATGTATTATCTAGCTTGTTCAAATGTTCTGCTTGCCACGTTCTATCTGGCTTGTTCATGTGTTCTGCTAACAACGTACTATCAAGCTTGTTCAAGTTTTCTGCTCGCCACGTACTATCTGGCTTGTTCATGTGTTCTGCTCGCCACGTACTGTCTGGCTTGTTCATGTGTTCTTTTCGCCATGTACTATCTGGCATGTTCAAGTTTTCTGTATGCCACATACTATCTGGCTTGTTCAGGTGTTCTGCTCGCAATGTACAATCTAGCTTGCTCAAATGTTCTGCTCGCCACGTTCTATCTGGCTTGTTCATGTGTTCTGCGCACCACATACTATCTGGCTTGTTCATGTGTTCTTCTCGCCACGTACTATCTGGCTTGTTCATGTTTTCTGTTTGCCACGTACTATATGGCTTGTTCATGTATACTGCTCGCCACGTACTATTTGGCTTGTTCATGTGTTCTGCTTGCCACGTACTATCTGACTTGTTCATGTGTTCTGCTCACCATGTACTATCTGGCTTGTTCATGTGTTCTGCTCACTTCGAACTGTCTGGCTTGTTAATGTGTTCTGCACGCCGCGTACTAACTGGCTTGTTGATGTGTTCTGCTCGCCACATACCATATGGCTTGTTGATGTGTTTTGTTTGCCACGTACTAACTGGCTTGTTCATTTATTCTGCTCGCCACGTACTATCTGGCTTGATCATGTGTTCTGCGTGCCACGTACTATCTGGCTTGTTCAAGTGTTCTACTCGCAATGTACTGTTTTGCTTGTTCATGTGTTCTGCTCGCCACGTACTATGTGGCTTGTTGACGTGTTCTGCTCGCCACATATTATCTGGCTTGTTCATGTGTTCTGCTCGCCACGTACTATCTGGCATGTTGATGTGTTCTGCTCGCTACGTACTATCTGGCTTGTTCAGGTGTTCTGCTTGCCACGTACTATCTGGCTTGTTCAAGTGTTCTGCTCGCCACATACTATCTGGCTTGATGATGTGTTCTGCTCGCCGCATACTATCTGGCTTGTTGATGTGTTCTGCTCGCAAGGTACTATCTGGCTTGTTCATGTGTTCTGCTCGGCCCGTACTGTCTGGTTTGTTCATGTGTGGTCCTCCCCACATGCTATCTTGCTTGATCATGTGTTCTGTTCGCCATGTACTATCTGGTTTGTTCATACGTTCTGCTCCCAACGAACTTTCTGGCTTGTTCATGTGTTCTGCTCGCCACGTACTGTCTGGCTTCTTCATGTATTCTGCTCACCACCTACCAACTGGCTTGTTGATGTGTTCTGCTCGACACATACTATCTGGCTTGTTCATGTGTTCTGCTCGCCTCGTACTGTCTGGCTTGTTCATGTGTTCTGCTCACCACATAATATATAGCTTGTTGATGTGTTCTGCTCGCCACGTACAATCTGGCTTGTTCATGTGTTCTGCTCGCAATATACTATCTAGCTTGCTCATATGTTCGGCCTTGACACATATTATCTGGCTTGTTCATGTGTTATTTTAGTGAAGTACTATCTGGCTTGTTAATGTGTTCTGCTCGAATCATACTATCTGGCTTGTTCAAGTGTTCTGCTCGACACGTACTATCTGGCTTGTTGATGTGTTCTGCCCGCCAGGTACTATCTGGCTTGTTCATGTATTCTGCTCACCAGGTACTATCTGGCTTGTTCATGTGTTCTGCTTGCCATGTACTATCTGGTTTGTTCATGTGTTCTGCTCGACATGTTCTATCTGGCTTGTTCGTGTGTACTGCTCGCCATGTACTCTCTGGCTTGTTGATGTGTACTGCTCGCCACGTACTATCTGTCTTGTTCATGTGTTCTGCTTGCCACATACTATCTGGCTTGTTCAAGTGTTCTGCTCCCCATGTACTATCTGGCTTGTTGACGTGTTCTGCTCGCCAGGTAATAACTTGCTTGTTGATGTCTACTGCTTGCCATGTACTAACTGGAATGTTGATGTGTTCTGTTTGTAACATACTATCTGGCTTGTTCATGTGTTCTGCTCGCCACGTACTAACTGGCTTGTTGATGTGTTCTGCTCGAAATGTACTATCTGGATTGTTGATGTGTTCTGTTCGCCACGTACTATCTAACTTGTTCATGTGTTCTGCTCGCAATATACTATCTAGCTTGCTCATATGTTCTGCCTTGCCACATATTATCTGGCTTGTTCATGTGTTCTGTTCGCAAAGTACTATATGGCTTGTTACTGTGTTCTGTTTGCCACATACTATCTGGCTTGTTCATGTGTTCTGCTCGCCACGTACTACCTGGCTTGTTAACGTGTTCTGCTTGCCAGGTACTATTTGGCTTGTTCATGTGTTCTGCTCGCCACGTGCTCTCTGGTTTGTTCATGTGATCTGCTCATCACGTACTATCTGTCTTGTTCATGTGTTCTGCTCGACATGTACTATCTGGCTTGTTCGTGTGTTCTGCTCGCCATATACTCGCTGGCTTGTTGATGTGTACTGCTCGCCAAGTACTATCTGTCTTGTTCATGTGTTCTGCTTGCCACATACTATCTGGCTTGTTCAAGTGTTCTGCTCACCACGTACTATCTGGCTTGTTGACGTGTTCTGCTCGCCAGGTACTATCTGGCTTCTTCATGTGTTCTGCTCGCCACGTGCTCTCTGGTTTATTCATGTGTTCTGCTCGTCATGTACTATCTTCCTTGTTCATCTGTTCTGCTCGCCACATACTATCTGTCTTGTTCATGTGTTCTGCTCGACATGTACTATCTGGCTTGTTCGTGTGTTCTGCTCGCCACGTACTCTCTGGCTTGTTGATGTGTACTGCTCGCCACGTACTGTCTGTCTTGTTCATTTGTTCTGCTTGCCACATACTATCTGGCTTGTTCAAGTGTTCTGCTCGCCACGTACTATCTGGCTTGTTGATGTGTTCTGTTCACCACATACTGTCTGGCTTGTTGACGTGTTCTGCTCGCCAGGTACTATCTGGCTTGTTCATGTGTTCTGCTCGCCACGTGCTCTCTGGTTTGTTCATGTGTTCTGCTCGTCACGTACTATCTTGATTGTTCATGTGTTCTGCTCGCCACGTACTATCTGGCTTGTTGATGTGTACTGCTCGCCACGTACTATCTGTCTTGTTCATGTGTTCTGCTTGCCACATACTATCTGCCTTGTTCAAGTGTTCTGCTCACCATGTACTATCTGGCTTGTTGAGGTGTTCTGCTCGCCAGGTACTATCTGGCTTGTTCATGTGTTCTGCTCGCCACGTGCTCTCTGGTTTGTTCATGTGTTCTGCTCGTCACGTACTATCTTGCTTGTTCATGTGTTCTGCTCTCCACGTACTATCTGTCTTGTTCATGTGTTCTGCTCGACATGTACTATCTGGCTTGTTCGTGTGTTCTGCTCGCCACGTACTCTCTGGCTTGTTGATGTGTACTGCTCGCCACGTACTATCTGTCTTGTTCATGTGTTCTGCTTGCCACATACTATCTGGCTTGTTCAAGTGTTCTGCTCGCCACGTACTATTTGGCTTGTTGATGTGTTCTGTTCGCCGCATACTGTCTGGCTTGTTCATGTGTTCGCTCGCAAGGCACTATCTGGCTTGTTCATGTGTTCGCTCGCAAGGCACTATCTGGCTTGTTCATGTGTTCTGCTCGCCCATACTGTCTGGTTTGTTCATGTGTTCTGCTCACCACGTAATAACTGGCTTGTTGATGTCTACTGCTCGCCATGTACTAACTGGAATGTTGATGTGTTCTGTTCGTTACATACTATCTGGATTGTTGATGTGTTCTGTTCGCCATGTACAATCGAACTTGTTCATGTGTTCTGCTCGTTACGAACTTTCTAGCTTGTTCACGTGTTCTGCTTGCCACATACTGTCTGGCTTGTTTTCGTATTCTGCTTGTAACATACTAACTGGCTTGTTGATGTGTTCTGCTCGCCACATACTATCTGGCTTGTTAATGTGTCCTGTTCCCCACATACTACTTGGCTTGGTCATGTGTTCTGTTCTCCGCATTCTGTCTTGCTTTTTTATGTGTTCTGCTTGCCATGTACTATCTTGCTTGTTCATGTGTTCACTCGCCACGTACCATCTGTCTTGTTCATGTGTTCTGCTCGCCATGTACTATCTGGCTTGTTAATGTGTTCTGCTCGCCATGTACTGTCTGGGTTGTTCATGTGTTCTACTCGCTATGTACTAAGTGGCTTGTTGACGTGTTCTTCTCCCCACATACTATCTGGCTTTTTTATGTGTTCTGCTCGTCACGTACTATCTGGCTTGCTTAAATTTTAAATTTTGCCCCGAGGGGCGAGTTTATTGGGCATCGCCACTTATCTTGTGAGTGGACATACCGCCATAGCAGCATGTACACCACTCCCCAATAGGAAGAAAACCCGCTGGGTTGTTCATCCTGTCACTTTTACCCAGACACAGCTGGGACTTGCTTAACTGTCTCAAGTGAACAGCTCCTCAAACAAGAAGATTAACATCTATCAACCCTTAAAAGCTTACGTTATCTTGCGTGTGCAAAATGGAGAAATCTTTTAAGAACAGTATCAATATTTGACAAATAGTGTTTTCCTAACTCAAACAATGTGGGGTTTATTATTCTACACATTTTCCTAATGTCTCTCAGGTGTTTACATTCACGTAGATAGTGGTCAAGGCGGTGTCCATCACTCTCACCACAGATTCTGCATCTTCGCTGATCAACTGTTGTTTCCATTCCAAATCTCCATGGATATTTGTATCCAAGAGGGATTCTCGCTATTACTGATTCTCTCCCTCGTCCTCCTCCTCTTCGGCCATAATGACTGGGATTGCCAGCTGCAACCATGTTGTACCATCGTACAGATTCACTGGTTTGTGCTTCTATCCTCCTTTCCTCAGTTACCTTGTCACGGTGATGTTGCCTGATAATACCTCTAATTTGTTGTTGAGTCTTGGGTATGAAGTATTCAATATAGTCTCCTTCAGCGCCTTCAGCAGCCAGCACATCTGCTCGTTCATTCCCACATATTCCAACATGGGAGGGGATCCACAGAAACTTGATGTCTCTTCCCTGATTGGTAAGTACTCTCACAGCTCTCTTAATTTCAGCGACTATTGCAAGATTTTCTGCCTGATTTTTACTTAGGCTTTGCAGTGCTGCTTTTGAATCGGTGCAAATCACTGCACCATTAGTGTTCCGTTCAAGGAACCTTAATGCCATAACAATGGCAGTTAGCTCTGCTTGCGTTGAGGAGGCATAGTTCTCAATACGCGCTTTTTCTTCAATTCTGCATTGGAAAGTATTATCCTTGATTACCGTGTATGATGCACCAGCCCTGCCATTGACAGGATTAGATGACCCGTCAGTGTAGATTTGATATAGTTCATCTCCGGCTTCTTTATAAATTTCCTCTAGATACTTGTGCCTCATTTCTTGTGGTATCATGTTGGATTTTTTCGTTGCCATTTCATTGATGATGATCTTTCATGAGTCATCCTCCCAGGGAGGTAACCTCTCTACAGGCAGGAGCTCACGGGCTTGCTCAAGCAGGTGAAGCTCTTCGAGGTAGCAGACTGATCTGTGATGCCATTTTTTGCTTTTCCTGTTTCCCCTTGAAAGTAGCACAGAGCTCAGTTTTTTCTCAGCAATATCATTGTAATGGGGATCTCTGGCTATCCTAATTGCAAGCTTAGCATTCAGCTCCTGAATTCTGCTTTTAACACTGGGAAGGGACAACTCCTCTCTTAGATTAGACGTTTTGGCAGTTCTTGGAACTCCAAGAATGATTGTCATGGCTTCATTTTGAATGCTTTCAAGCCTTTTCATATCGCTTTGGGAGTAGGTGCACAGAACTGGTGCGGCATAGTCTATGACGGAACGCACATAGGCTGTGTACATCATTATAAGCACGGCAATAGAGGCTCCATGTCCATTCCAGGTCATAGCTTTCAGTGCCCTGAGTCGACTTTTGCATGTTCCTATGAGTTGATTGAGCTCCTCTTTCTTTCCCTTGTAGAGCCGACAGTGACGCCAAGGTACCGATAGTGGTCAACCCATTCAAGTGTTACACCATTAATTTGCAGTTCTTCATTTGCTCTCCGCTTGTGATGGGAGTATACCTTCGTCTTGTTTGTGGAGAGAGTGAAACCGAGCTCAATACATTTCCTTCCAAGGAGTTCAATGGACTGTTCAATTTTTCCCAAGGTGGGAGCTTGTATTAGGACATCATCTGCATATCCCACTTGTTGTGTTCCTTCCGGAAAATCAATATTTGCAATGGCGTTCATAAGTACATTGAATAGTGTAGGGCTTAAGACTCCGCCTTGGGGGGTCCCGAGTTCCATATTCATTGTTCTGGAGACTGCTCCATTGAAGCAAACCTTGGCTTTCCTCCCTGTGAGGTAGTCTTCAACCCATTTCATGAGTCTCCCCTTGACACCCATGCATGCAAGCTCGTCCAGGATCGCAATCCCCTGTGCTTTCTCGAAGGCTCCTTTGATGTCAACAGATACAGAGTACCTAGCCGTGTTATTAGCCAAGTAATTAACTATACAATTTGCTGTGCTCCCTCCTTTAACAAATCCATTGACCCCCTCCCCTAACCTGCCTATTTTGTGCAACAGTCGGTTTAGGATGATCCTTTCAAGCATCTTGCAAGTGCATGACACGAGACTGATAGGTCTGTAATTACCAGGGTCATTAGGCTTCGGTATGGGAACAATTATTGCGTGTTACCATTGTGTGGGCAACACTCCACTTAGGAATGACTTGTTAAACAGGTGGAGTAGTGGATTCCCAGACACTTCACACAGTGCATTGAGTATGTCGTAGGTGACGCCATCTTCACCAGGTGCTGTACTTTTATCCTTTTTCATAGCGCTCCTTACTTCTTGGGCTGTGATTGGTTCCCCATATTCGTTATCACTAGACAGTGCTCTTGTTATCCTAATTCTTCTGTCATCATGTTGCAGGAGCTGTTCCCTGCTGATTTCTGCAGGGAGAGAGAAGGAGGATGCTGCATCACTCCACTTGTGAATTAGTTCCACAGCCTTACCCTGGGGGTCTTTGTGAGCCGCAAGCCGGGCTCTGCCCCCCTTAGCTATCTGAATTTTTGCCCACACTTGCCTTGCAGATGTTTCCCGTCCAATAGAGCTAGTGAACTCAAGCCATTGTCTTTCCCGCTCTTTAATCTTCTCTTCCCTGGCTACTTGACACACAGTTTTAAACAACTCTTGGTTACTTTCAGTGGGATGTCTCCGGTACTCTCTACTCATGTCTCGCACATTTGCGTTAAGCATCTTTATGTAATCATTCTCATACCATTTTATTTTCTTCCTCTGAGGGTTACTTCGCCCAGGCGTACGGCGCGGAACTCTTAGACAGCTCTCAATTTGGTGATTAAGGTCATCAACAAATGTGTCAATGTCTTCTGGGATTTGGTATTCCGTGAACCAGTCATTCATCCTGTTTATGAAGTGCGGCCTCATATCGGGTCCGAGTGATAACCTTTTTCTTTTATTTGTCTCTTTCCTTCTCTTGCTCATGTCGACGGTGGTAATCAGCGCCCAATGGTCACTACATAAACTGTGCACAATGTGTGTACTGGCATCCGTGTTCTGGCTTGCTCATATGTTCTGCGTGCTACATATTATCTGGTTTGTTCATGTGTTCTGTTCACCACATACTATCTAGCTTGTTCATGTGGTCTGCTCGCCACATACTATCTTGCTTGTTCATGTGTTCTGCTCGCCACATACTATCTGGCTTGTCCTTGTGTTCTGCTCGCCACATACTATCTTGCTTGTCCAAGAGTTCTGCTCCCCACGTACTATCTGGCTTGTTGATGTGTTCTGCTAGCCTCGTACTATCTGGCTTGTTCATGTGTTCTGCTCGCCAGGTAATATCTGACTTGTTTGTGTTTTCTGCTCGCCACGTACTATCTGGCTTGTTCGTGTGTTCTGCTCACCACGTACTATCTGGTTTGTTCATGTGTTTTGCTCACCACGTACAATCTAGCTTGTTCATGTGTTCTGCTCACCACGTACTATCTGACTTGTTCATGTGTTTTGCTCACCACGTACTATCTAGCTTGTTCATGTGTTCTGTTTGCTAGGTACTATCTAGCTTGTTTATGTGTTCTGCTCGCCACATACTATCTGGCTTGTTCACATGTTCTGCTCGCCACGTACTATCTGGCTTGTTCATGTGTTCTGCTCGCCACGTACTATCTGGCTTGCTCATGTGTTCTGCTCGCCATGTATTGTCTTGCTTGTTCGTGTTTTCTGCTCGCCACATACTAACTAGCTTGTTGATGTGTTCTGCTCGCCAGGTACTATCTTGCTTGTTCATGTGTTCTGCTCGCCACGTACAGTCTGGCTTGTTCGTGTGTTCTGCTCGCCACGTGCTAACTGGCTTATTGATGTGTTCTGTGTGCCATGTACTATCTGGCTTGTTGATGAGTTCTGTTTGCCACATACTATCTGGCTTGTTCATGTATTCTGCTTCCACATACTGTCTGGCTTGTTCATGTGTTCTGCTCGACACGTACTATCTGGTTTGTTCATGTGATCTGCTCGCCACGTACTATCTAGCTTCTTCATGTGTTCTGCTCGCCCCGTACTATCTGGCTTGTTCATGTGTTCTGCTCGCTACGTACTGTCTGGCTTGTTCGTGTGCTCTGCTCGCCAAGTACTAACTCGCTTGTTGATGTGTTCTGCTCGCCACATAATATCTGGCTTGTTGATGTGTTCTGTTTGCCACGTACTATCTGGCTTGTTCATATATTCTGCTCACCACGTACTGTCTGGCTTGTTCTCATGTTTTACTTGTAACGTACTAACTGGCTTGTGTATGTATTCTGCTCGCCACATACTATCTGGCTTGTTCATGTGTTCTGTTCGCCATTTACTATCTGGCTTTTTTATGTGTTCTTCTTGCCACATACTATCTAGCTTGACATGAGTTCTGCTCGCTACATACTATCTGGCTTGTTCATGTATTCTGCTCGCCACATACTATCTATCTTGTTCATGTGTACTGATCGCCACGTAATATCTGGCTTACTCATATATTCTGCGTGCCACATATTATCTGGCTTGTTCATGTGTTCTGCTCGCCAGGTACTGTCTGGCTTGTTCATGTGTTCTGCTCGCCAAGTACTATCAGGCTTGTTTATTTGTTCTGCATGCCACGTACTATATCGCTTGTTCAAGTGTTCTGCTTGCCACGTATTATCTGGCTTGTTCATGTGTTCTGCTCACCACGTATTATCTGGCTTGTCCAAATGTTCTGCTCGCTACGTACTAGCTGGCTTGTTGATGTGTTCTGCTAGTCACGATCTATCTGGCTTGTTCATGTGTTCTGCTCACCCCATACTATCTGGCTTGTCCAAGTGTTCTGCTCCCCACGTACTATCTGGCTTGTAGATGTGTTCTGCTAGCCACGTACTATCTGGCTTGTTCACGTGTTCTGCTCGCCAAGTACTATCTGACTTCTTAATGTTTTCTGCTTGCCACGTACTATCTGGTTTGTTCATGTGTTCTGATAGCCACGTACTATCTGGCTTGTTCATGTGTTCTGCTCGCCAGGTACTATCTGACTTGTTCATGTTTTCTGCTCGCCACGTACTATCTGGTTTGTTCATGTGTTCTGTTCACCACGTACTATCTGGCTTGTCCATGTGTTCTGCTCGCCACATACTGTCTTGCTTGTCCAAGTGTTCTGCTCCCCACGTGCTATCTGGCTTGTCCATATGTTCTGCTTGCCACATACTATCTTGCGTGTCCAAGTGTTCTGCTCCCCACGTACTATCTGGCTTGTTGATGTGTTCTGCTTGCCACATACTATCTGTGCAAGTGTTCTGCTCCCCACGTCTATCTGGCTTGTGTTCTGCTTGCCACATACTATCTTGCGTGTCCAAGTGTTCTGCTCCCCACGTACTATCTGGCTTGTTGATGTGTTCTGGTAGCCACGTACTATCTGGCTTGTTCATGTGTTCTGCTCGCCAGGTACTATCTGACCTGTTCATGTTTTGTGCTTACACATACTATCTGGTTTGTTCATGTGTTCTGCTCGCCACGTACTATCTGGCCTGTTCATGTGTTCAGTTCACCAGATACTCTCTGGCTTGTTCATATGTTCTGCTCGCCACATACTATCTGGCTTGTCCATGTGTTCTGCTCGCCACATACTATCTTGCTTGTCCAAGTGTTCTGCTCCCTACATACTATGTAGCTTGTTGATGTGTTCTGCTAGCTACGTACTATCTGGCTTGTTCATGAGTTCTGCTCGCCAGGTACTATCTGACTTGTTCATGTTTTCTGCTCGCCACGTACTATCTACTATGTTCATGTGTTCTGTTTGCCACGTACTATCTGGCTTGTTCACGTGTTCTGTTCACCACATACAATCTGGCTTGTTCATATGTTCTGCTCGCCACGTACTATCTGGCTTGTCCATGTGTTCTGCTCGCCACATACTATCTTGCTTGTCCAAGTGTTCTGCTCCTCATGTACTATCTGGCTTGTTCATGTGTTCTGCTAGCTATGTACTATCTGGCTTGTTCATGTGTTCTGCTTGCCACGTACTCTCCGGCTTGTTCATGTGTTCTGCTCGCTACTTACTATCTGGCTTGTTCGTGTGTTCTGCTCGCTACGTACTGTCTGGCTTGTTAATGTTTTCTGCTCGCTATGTACTAACTGGCTTGTTGATGTGTTCTGCTCACCACGTACTATCTGGCTGGTTCATGTGTTCTGTTCACCTTGTACTTTCTGGCTTGTTCATGTGTTCTGCTCGACAGATACTATCTGGCTTGTCCATGTGTTCTGCTCGCCACATGCTATCTTGCTTTTCCAAGTGTTCTGCTCCCCTCGTACTATCTGGCTTGTTGATGTGTTCTGCTCGCCACATACTATCTGGTTTGTTCATGTGTTCTGCTTGCCACATACTATCTATCTTGTTCATGTGTTCTGATAGCCACGTACTATCTGGCGTGTTCATTTGTTCTCCTCGCCAGGTACTATCTGACATCTTAATGTTTTCTGCTCGCCACGTACTATCTGGTTTGTTCATGTGTTCTGTTCCCCATTTACTATCTGGCTTTTTTATGTGTTCTTCTTGCCACGTACTATCTGGCTTGACATGAGTTCTGCTCGCTACATACTATCTGGCTTGTTCATGTATTCTGCTCGCCACATACTATCTATCTTGTTCATGTGTTCTGCTCGCTACGGACAATCTGGTTTGTTGATGTGATCTGCTCGCCACGTACTATCTAGCTTCTTCATGTGTACTATCTGGCATGCTCAAATGTTCTGCTCGCGACATATTATCTGGCTTGTTCATTTGTTCTGCTCGCCAGGTAATGTCTGGCTTGTTCATGTATTCTGCTCGCCAAGTACTATCAGGCTTGTTTATTTGTTCTGCACGCCACATACTATATCGCTTGTTCAAGTGTTCTGCTTGCCACTTACTATCTGGCTTGTTCAAGTGTTCTGCTCACCACGTATTATCTGGCTTGTCCAAATGTTCTGCTCGCTACGTACTAGCTGGCTTGTTGATGTGTTCTGCTAGTCACGAACTATCTGGCTTGTTCATGTGTTCTGCTTGCCACATACTATTTGGCTTGTCCAAGTGTTCTGCTCCCTACGTACTATCTGGCTTGTAGATGTGTTCTGCTAGCTACGTACTATCTGGCTTGTTCATGTGTTCTGCTTGCCACATACTATTTGGCTTGTCCAAGTGTTCTGCTCCCTACGTACTATCTGGCTTGTAGATGTGTTCTGCTAGCTACGTACTATCTGGCTTGTTCATGTGTTCTGCTCGTCAGGTACTATCTGACTTCTTAATGTTTTCTGCTTGCCACGTCCTATCTGGTTTGTTCATGTGTTCTGATAGCCACGTACTATCTGGCGTGTTCATGTGTTCTCCTCGCCAGGTACTATCTGACATCTTAATGTTTTCTGCTCGCCACGTACTATCTGGTTTGTTCATGTGTTCTGTTCACCACGTACTATCTAGCTTGTTCATGTGTTCTGCTCGCCACATACTATCTTGTGTGTCCAAGTATTCTGCTCCCCACGTACTATCTGGCTTGTTGATGTGTTCTGGTAGCCACGTACTATCTTGCTTATTCATGTGTTCTGCTCGCCAGGTACTATCTGACTTGTTCATGTTTTGTGCTTTCACATACTATCTGGTTTGTTCATGTGTTCTGCTCGCCACGTACTATCTGGCTTGTTCATGTGTTCAGTTCACCAGACACTCTCTGGCTTGTTCATATGTTCTGCTCGCCACATACTATCTGGCTTGTCCATGTGTTCAGCTCGCCACATACTATCTTGCTTGTCCAAGTGTTCTGCTCCCTACATACTATGTAGCTTGTTGATGTGTTCTGCTAGCTACGTACTATCTGGCTTGTTCATGAGTTCTGCTCGCCAGGTACTATCTGACTTGTTCATGTTTTCTGCTCGCCACGTACTATCTACTATGTTCATGTGTTCTGCTCGCCACGTACTATCTGGCTTGTTCACGTGTTCTGTTCACCACATAAAATCTGGCTTGTTCATATGTTCTGCTCGCCACGTACTATCTGGCTTGTCCATGTGTTCTGCTCGCCACATACTATCTTGCTTGTCCAAGTGTTCTGCTCCCCATGTACTATCTGGCTTGTTCATGTGTTCTGCTTGCCACGTACTCTCCGGCTTGTTCATGTGTTCTGCTCGCTACTTACTATCTGGCTTGTTCATGTGTTCTGCTCGCCACGTACTATCTGGCTTGTTGATGTGTTCTGCTCGCCACATACTATCTGGTTTGTTCATGTGTTCTGCTTGCCACATACTATCTGCCTTGTTCATGTGTTCTGTTCACCATGTACTATCTAGCTTTTTCATGTGTTCTGTTTTCCACATACTATCTGGCTTGTTCATGTGTTCTGCTCACCCCATACTATCTGGCTTGTCCAAGTGTTCTGCTCCCCACGTACTATCTGGCTTGTAGATGTGTTCTGCTAGCCACGTACTATCTGGCTTGTTCATGTGTTCTCCTCGCCAGGTACTATCTGACTTCTTAATGTTTTCTGCTTGCCACGTACTATCTGGTTTGTTCATGTGTTCTGATAGCCACGTACTATCTGGCTTGTTCATGTGTTCTGCTCGCTAGGTACTATCTGACTTGTTCATGTGTTCTGCTCGCCACATACTGTCTTGCTTGTCCAAGTGTTCTGCTCGCCACGTACTATCTGGTTTGTTCATGTGTTCAGTTCACCAGATACTCTCTGGCTTGTTCATATGTTCTGCTCGCCACATACTATCTGGCTTGTCCATGTGTTCTGCTCGCCACATACTATCTTGCTTGTCCAAGTGTTCTGCTCCCCATGTACTATCTGGCTTGTTCATGTGTTCTGCTAGCTATGTACTATCTGGCTTGTTCATGTGTTCTGCTTGCCACGTACTCTCTGGCTTGTTCATGTGTTCTGCTCGCTACTTACTATCTGGCTTGTTCGTGTGTTCTGCTCGCTACGTACTGTCTGGCTTGTTAATGTTTTCTGCTCGCTATGTACTAACTGGCTTGTTGATGTGTTCTGCTCACCACGTACTCTCTGACTTGTTCATGGTTTCTGCTCGCCATGTACTATCTGGTTTGTTCATGTGTTCTGCTCTCCACGTACTATCTGGCTGGTTCATGTGTTCTGTTCGCCACTTACTATCTGGCTTGTTCATGTGTTCTGCTCGCCAGGTACTATCTGACTTGTTCATGTTTTCTGCTCGCCACGTACTATCTGGTTTGTTCATGTGTTCTGTTTGCTACGTACTATCTGGCTTGTTTATGTGTTCTGCTCGCCACATACTATCTGGCTTGTTCACATGTTCTGCTCGCCACGTACTATCTGGCTTGTTCATGTGTTCTGCTCGCCACGTACTATCTGGCTTGCTCATGTGTTCTGCTTGCCATGTATTGTCTGGCTTGTTAGTGTTTTCTGCTCGCCACATACTAACTAGGTTGTTGATGTGTTCTGCTCACCAGGTTCTATCTTGCTTGTTCATGTGTTCTGCTCGCCACGTACAGTCTGGCTTGTTCGTGTGTTCTGCTCGCCATGTGCTAACTAGCTTATTGATGTGTTCTGTGCGCCATGTACTATCTGGCTTGTTGATGAGTTCTGTTTGCCACATACTATCTGGCTTGTTCATGTGTTCTGCTCGCTACGTACAATCTGGTTTGTTCATGTGATCTGCTCGCCACGTACTATCTAGCTTCTTCATGTGTTCTGCTCGCCACGTACTATCTGGCTTGTTCATGTGTTCTGCTCGCTACGTACTGTCTGGCTTGTTCGTGTGCTCTGCTCGCCAAGTACTAACTCGCTTGTTGATGTGTTCTGCTCGCCACATAATATCTGGCTTGTTGATGTGTTTTGTTCGCCACATACTATCTGGCTTGTTCATATATTCTGCTCACCACGTACTGTCTGGCTTGTTCTCATGTTCTGCTTGTAACGTACTAACTGGCTTGTGTATGTATTCTGCTCGCCACATACTATCTGGCTTGTTCATGTGTTCTGTTCCCCATTTACTATCTGGCTTTTTTATGTGTTCTTCTTGCCACGTACTATCTGGCTTGACATGAGTTCTGCTCGCTACATACTATCTGGCTTGTTCATGTATTCTGCTCGCCACATACTATCTATCTTGTTCATGTGTACTGATCGCCAGGTACTATCTGGCATGCTCATATGTTCTGCTCGCCACATATTATCTGGCTTGTTCATCTGTTCTGCTCGCCACGTAATATCTGGCTTGCTCATATGTTCTGCGTGCAACATATTATCTGGCTTGTTCATGTGTTCTGCTCGCCAAGTACTATCAGGCTTGTTTATTTGTTCTGCACGCCACGTACTATATCGCTTGTTCAAGTGTTCTGCTTGCCACGTACTATGTGGCTTGTTCATGTGTTCTGCTCACCACGTATTATCTGGCTTGTCCAAATGTTCTGCTCGCTACGTACTAGCTGGCTTGTTGATGTGTTCTGCTAGTCACGAACTATCTGGCTTGTTCATGTGTACTGCTTGCCACATACTATTTGGCTTGTTCATGTGTTCTGCTCACCCCATACTATCTGGCTTGTCCAAGTGTTCTGCTCCCCACGTACTATCTGGCTTGTAGATGTGTTCTGCTAGCCACGTACTATCTGGCTTGTTCATGTGTTCTGCTCGCCAGGTACTATCTGACTTCTTAATGTTTTCTGCTTGCCACGTACTATCTGGTTTGTTCATGTGTTCTGATAGCCACGTACTATCTGGCTTGTTCATGTGTTCTGCTCGCCAGGTACTATCTGACTTGTTCATGTTTTCTGCTCGCCACGTACTATCTGGTTTGTTCATGTGTTCTGTTCACCACGTACTATCTGGCTTGTTGATGTGTTCTGCTTGCCACGTACGATCTGGCTTGTCCATATGTTCTGCTTGCCACATACTATCTTGCGTGTCCAAGTGTTCTGCTCCCCACGTACTATCTGGCTTGTTGATGTGTTCTGGTAGCCACGTACTATCTGGCTTGTTCATGTGTTCTGCTCGCCAGGTACTATCTGACTTGTTCATGTTTTGTGCTTTCACATACTATCTGGTTTGTTCATGTGTTCTGCTCGCCACGTACTATCTGGTTTGTTCATGTGTTCAGTTCACCAGATACTCTCTGGCTTGTTCATATGTTCTGCTCGCCACATACTATCTGCCTTGTCCATGTGTTCTGCTCGCCACATACTATCTTGCTTGTCCAAGTGTTCTGCTCCCTACATACTATGTAGCTTGTTGATGTGTTCTGCTAGCTACGTACTATCTGGCTTGTTCATGAGTTCTGCTCGCCAGGTACTATCTGACTTGTTCATGTTTTCTGCTCGCCACGTACTATCTACTATGTTCATGTGTTCTGCTCGCCACGTACTATCTGGCTTGTTCACGTGTTCTGTTCACCACATACAATCTGGCTTGTTCATATGTTCTGCTCGCCACATACTATCTTGCTTGTCCAAGTGTTCTGCTCCCCATGTACTATCTGGCTTGTTCATGTGTTCTGCTCGCCTCATACTATCTGGCTTGTTCATGTGTTCTGCTCGCTACGTACTGTCTGGCTTGTTCATGTGCCCTGCTTGCCACGTACTAACTTGCTTGTTGATGTGTTCTGCTCGCCACATAATATCTGGCTTGTTGATGTGTTCTGTTCGCCACGTACTATCTGGCTTGTTCATATATTCTGCTTGCCACACACTGTCTGGCTTGTTCTCGTGTTCTGCTTGTAACATAGTAAATGGTTTGTTGATGTGTTCTGCTCGCCACATACCATCTAGCTTGTTAATGTGTTTTGTTCCCCACATACTACCTGGGTTGGTCATGTGTTCTGTTCCCCTCATACTATCTGGCTTGTTCATGTGTTCTGCTTGCCACATACTATCTGGCTTGTTAATGTGATCTGCTCTCAAAGTACTGTCTGGCTTATTCATGTGTTCTACTCGCTATGTACTAACTGGCTTGTTGATGTGTTCTTCTCACCACATACTATCTGGCTTTTTGATGTGTTCTGTTCACCACGTACTATCTGGCTTTTTGATATGTTCTGTTCACCACGTACTATCTGGCTTGTTCATGTGTTCTGCTCGCCACATATTATTTGGCTTTCTCATATGTTCTGCTCGCCACATATTATCTGGCTTTTTCATTTGTTCTGCTCACTACGTACTATCTGGCTTGCTCATATGGTCTGTGCTCCACATATTATCTGGCTTGTTCATGTGTTTTGCTCGCCAGGTACTATCTGGCTTGCTGATATGGTCTGTTCGCCAGGTAATATCTGGCTTGTTCATGTGTTCTGCTCGCAACGTACTTTCTGGCTTGTTCATGTGTTCTGCTCGCCAAGTACTATCAGGCTTGTTTATGTGTTCTGCTCGCCACGTACTATATCGCTTGTACAAGTGTTCTGCTTGCCACATACTATCTGGCTTGTTCATGAGTTCTGCTCACCACGTTTTATCTGGCTTGTCCAAGTGTTCTGCTCGCCACTTACTAGCTGGCTTGTTGATGTGTTCTGCTAGTCACGAACTATCTGGCTTGTTCATGTGTTTTACTCGCTACATACTATTTGGCTTGTTCATGTGTTCTGCTCGCAATGTACCATCTGGCTTGTCCAAGTGTTCTGCTCCCCACGTACTATCTGGCTTGTTGATGTGTTCTGCTAGCCACGTTCTATCTGGCTTGTTCATGTGTTCTGCTCGCCAGGTACTATCTGACTTGTTCATGTTTTCTGCTTGCCACGTACTATCTGGTTTGATTGTGTGCTCTGCTCGCCACGTACTGTCTGGCTTGTTTATATTTTCTGTTTGCTATGTACTTACTGGCTTGTTGATGTGTTCTGCTCGCCACATACTATCTGACATGTTGGTGTGTCCTGTTCGCGATGTAATATCTGGTTTGTTCATGTGTTCTGCTCACAACGTACTATCTGGCTTGCTCATATGCTCTGCTCGCCACATACTTTCTGGCTTGTTCATGTGATCTGCTCGCCAAGTACTATCAGGCTTGTTTATGTGTTCAGCTTGCCACGTACTATCTGGCTTGTTCATGTGTTTTGCTCACCACGTTTTATCTGGCTTGTCCAAGTGTTCTGCATGCCATGTACTAGCTGGCTTGTTGATTTGTTCTGCTAGTAATGAACTATCTGGCTTGTTCATGTGTTCTGCTCGCCACATACTATCTGGCTTGTTGATGTGTTCTGCTTGCCACGTACTATCTGGCTTGTTCATGTGTTCTGCTCGCCACATACTATCTGGCTTGTCCATGTGTTCTGCTCGCCACGTACTATCTTGCTTGTCCAAGTGTTCTGCTCCCCACATACTATCTGGCTTGTTGTTGTGTTCTGCTAGCCAATTACTATCTGGCTTGTTCATGTGTTCTGCTCGCCAGGTACTATCTTACTTGTTTATGTTTTCTGCTCGCCATGTACTATCTGGTTTGTTCATCTGTTCTTCTCGCCACATACTATCTGGCTTGTTCATGTGTTCTGCTCGCCACGTACTATCTGGCTTGTTCATGTGTTCTGCTCTCCACTTACTATCTGGCAGGTTCGTGTGTTCTGCTCGCCACGTACTGTCTGGCTTGTTCATGTTTTCTGCTCGCTATGTACTAACTGGCATGTTGGTGTGTTCTGTTTGCGTCGTAATATCTGGTTTGTTCATGTGTTTTGCTCGCCACGTATTATCTGGCTTGTTCATGTGTTCATCTCGCTACGTACTATATGGCTTGTTCATGTGTTCTGCTCGCCACGTACTTTCTGGCTTGTTGATGTGTTCTGCTCGCCTCATACTATATGGCTTGTTTGTGTGTTCTATTCGCCACATACTATCTAGCTTGTTCATGTGTTCTGCTCGCCACGTACTATCTGGATTGCTCATATGTTCTGCTCGCTACGTATTATCTGGCTTCTTTGTGTGTTCCACTCGCCACATATTCTCCCTCTTATGATGTGCTCTTGTTTTCAAGATGAGATCTTTGTGGTTAATATCTCATGATATAAATAGTTCCTATTGCTTTGTAGTCATCAAAGCAACGTCTCACTTCCACGACCAAACAGTTTCTGTCACTACTTGCCTGACTTTTTTGTCTTCTCGTGTTCGGAGATGGGTACAACCTGCTTGTTTCCTATGAAGAGTAGGGAAGTTGATATGATTGAGTGATCCGTGTAGTGCTTGATGTATCTAATGAAATAATGCTACTCTGTTCAGTTGTATGTGAATTATAGAAGATCTGTTTTCCTACATACACACACACTCACTAAGACACACACATGCACAAACACACACACACACCTACAGGAGCCTTGTAGCCTGGTGGATAGCACGCAGGACTCGTAATTCTGTGGCGCGAGTTCGAGTCCCGCACGAGTCAGAAACAAATGGTCAAAGTTTCTTTCACCCTGAATGCCCCCTGTTACCTAGCAGTAAATAGGTACCTGGGAGTTAGTCAGCTGTCATGGGCTGCTTCCTGGGGGTGTGTGTGTGTGTGTGGTGTGGAAAAAAAATTAAAAAGTAGTTAGTAAACAGTTGATTAAAAGTTGAGAGGCGGACCGAAAGAGCATAAATGCTCATCCCCCGCAAACACAACTAGGTGATTACAAACACACACACAAACATATACACACACACACACACACACACACACACACACACACACACATGGGATACTGAAGGGGTTACAGATGGAAGGGGCTGAACAAAACATTGAGAAGGTTTTCAGGTTGGGCTGGTACAACAAGGACAGAAACCGACTGGTAAAGGTGGTGTTTACAAACGAGACCACGAAGGAGGTTATTCTGGAAAAGAAGAGTCATCTGCAGTATGTGGAAAAATACAAAAATTTATTCCTGCAGAGGGACAGGACGAAGGAGGAGAGAGCCAGGAGCAGCAGAGGCAAGGAGGAAGCACGGGGAGAGAGGAGTAAACCAGGAAATCAAAGCCGCCAACACAACAGTCCCAGAGACAAGAGGGTAACCCACAACCAGCATCCCAGGAACAACAGGGGAGAGGGCAACACCACCACCCCTCTCTGCATAGAAACCCTCCCATCCTCTCACCCTACCTGCCCCCCACCTTAATGCACCCCCCACCATCTAATTCCGACCCTGTCACCCCTTCCCTATTCCCACCATGTTCCCCCTCCCGCCTTTTCCCTCTGTCCCCCTCTCATCCCATACCCTCGTCTTCCCTCACCCCGTATCCTACATGTCCCCACTATCTCCTTACCCTACACCCTACCTGTCCCCACTTCCCTTGAACCCCCACACCCACCCCAAAATCCTATTAGACCCTGCAAACCACCTCACAGATCTTCTCACCCAGGGAAAAGCTTTCCCCACCAGCAGAACGCTCGCCAAGAAGGGGACAAGAAAGTGAACAGAAGAAAGT